AGCCAGGGCACCAAGAGGCACTGACGCGAAGTACCCTAAAGAAACGAGGTTTAGGGTTGTCGGTGGGGAGATTGTGGACTCCCCAGTGGCGGAAAGCTCAGCGGGTACGCCCATGGGAGAAATCGCACCGGTGAAAGAAAAGGGTACGATTGACCTCACGGCAGCGATGAGTGACACCGGAGAGGATAGCGTCCTGAACAGCATAGGCACAGTGGAGTTCACGTCGATGACCGAAGCGGAAAATACCGAGTCATCCTTCGAAGAAATTCCACGGAAGGGCAAGAAGAGGGGACGAAAGCCCAAAGGCAGCAACGTGCCGGGATCACATGCGCTGACAAAAATCTCTTCCAAGCGCATGGAATTCGAGGACGACGAACTTGATAGAGAAGACTTCTTCCAAATCGTGAAGAAGGCCGGGCATGGAATGAAAAAGAGGAGAGGTCTGGTCGAATGTCAATTGGACGACAGACTATCCTCGAAACAAAAAGATGCGATTGAAGAGGTGACGTTACTTTTTCCGCAAATGTCGCCTAAGTCAATAATGGCGGAAACTCAGAGTATTAGACCTGGCGGGAGAAGCGGAAAGAAGAACCCAAACGATGAAAGGGGATCTACGGCGACAGATGAAGGTGGGGGTTAATGTGGCGAAGATCGCCATACAGCGACTCGCCTCAGACATCGCTAAAAGCACAGGACCCGTTGACGAGGTGAGGAACAGCAATCTTGCTTTAGAAAGAGAAGTCCTCAAGATGAGGAGGGAAATGGATACTCTGAGGAGGGAGAGAACCGCACTGAAAGACCAAGTGGAAACTCTTACACAAACGGTGCAAGAACTCAGAGAAAAGGAAGAACGTAGAGGACTAGGACGAGGAGGTATAAATCCCTCGCAGTTAGATGAGGAAACAGCGGAGGAATTCCCGACATTGAGGACGCGAAAGGGGAAAAACCAACCCTCGGTCCCAATCGAGTCGGACGAGATGAGCGAGGCCCTCCTACCCCCGGTGTACAGGCTGGCGCTAGGAGGTGTGCAAAAGAGGATAGAGGACAGGCCGCGAGTTCGCACGAGCGTAGACAACACTGGTAGGATCGTGACGAGTGCGAATGAAGGGACTCGAGAGGAAAAACGAACTACGAGCAGAGCGGTAAGAGCAAATGAAATACGTGCGAGAGACAGCTCTTTATCCCCAGCCAGAGAGTATCCGGATAAAGGTGAGGGATGGATAAAAACTAAAAGCAGGAGGGCAATAAAAAGGGCCAGGAGCAAAGAGAGGGAGAAAACAGCTCCGGGAAAAGATGTCCGGCGGGAAGTGGTGCCGGAAAGAGCTGCCAGACCTAGGAGGGACAGGAACCCAGATAGGACAACGGAAGCAGCAGTTAGGGGAGCACCAGAAGGAGGAAGAACCGGGGGAGCCATAATCCGGAATACGAACAAAGTACCGGCGCGACCAGCAGCGAGAGACCCGCGTTTCCGAGCACACAGGACCGCAGCAGTCCTGCTGAGATGCGAGGAAGCAGGGGGAAACTCCGCGCCGACGTACGCGGATGTTATGAGAATGGCAAGAAACAAGATATCTCTGGATGAGCTGGAGATATCTAATACCCGAATACGTAAGGCCCAGGCAGGGGGATTGTTGATAGAAATCCCGGGCGGAGAAGAGGCCAGTGCGAAGGCGGAAGCACTCGTCGGCCGGCTAAAAACAGTAATAGCCGGGAGCGAATTTGAAAAGAGCGTAAGCGTGATACGCCCGGTACAGAGAGCGGAGGTAAGACTGATCGATGTGGATCAGTCGGCCACGGTAGAAGAGATAATAGAGGCGGTGTCCAAATGCGGAAAGGTGCCTGCTACAAGTGTTAGAGCGGGTTCATTGAGACAGGGCAGGGGCGGTTTGTGCACCGTGTGGGTTCAGTGTCCGTTATCGGGAGCGAACCTAATGCTCAGTAGCGGTAAACTGAGAGTTGGCTGGACTATGGCAAAGGTGGTCCCACTGGCAAAGAGGAGGCTGCAATGCTTCCGGTGCCTCGCGGTGGGACACACCAGAGCTAACTGCCTAAGCATCGTGGACAGATCGTCGTGGTGCTTCCAGTGCGGGGGAAGCGATGGCCATAGGGCATTCGGGTGTAAAGCCTCGCCGAGATGCCCAGTGTGCGCCGCGAGAGGCATGAACGCGAACCACAGAGCGGGATCAGCGTCGTGCGTACCGTATAACGGGAGAGGGGAAACACCGCGAAGTGAAGAACTAAACGCGGTAGGAACGGAGAAAGCGAGTGAGGGGGCTGATCGGGGGGCCCAGGCTTCAGGGTCTGCGCTAGCAGAGGACATGGACATTTGTGATGGCTAAGTTCGCACGGATCAATGTCAATAGATCGAGGCCCTCGCAGGACCACATAGGAAAGGTATCCGAAGAACTGGACATCGGACTGGTCGCCGTGGCGGAACCCGCTCGAATACCGGATAGCGATAAATGGTTCGCCTCTACGGGAGAGCCACCGTCCACGGCGATAACGTGGCTATGGGGAGGCGCGAGGACGCCGTGCGCACCCCGGTGTAGGGGAGCGAGATTCGCGGCTGTGGACTGGGGGGACGTGACGATCGTCTCGTGTTACTTTCCCCCCAGCCTCAGCAACGCCGAATTCATCCAAGATCTGGACGAGATGGACGATAAGTTGCGGGACGTATTGCGGAGGGGACACCCGACGATAGTGGCCGGCGACTTTAACGCCAGAGCGCAGGCCTGGGACCCAGGAAGGCCAAACAGGAGGGGAGGCATCCTTCTGGGCTGGATGGGGACTAGGGGACTGCAACTTATTAACAATGGAGTCGAGCCCACGTGCGTGCACTCCCGGGGAACATCCGACGTAGACATCACGTTGGCAACACCAACCGCAGCTAGGAAGGTTGCTGGCTGGAGGGTCGCGACCGAACAGGAATCTTTATCGGACCATAGATATATCCTAATGGATCTAGGAGCCTCGTTGAGGGGCACTGAGATAGGTAGAACGGCGCTGAAAAAATTCCCGAGATGGGTCACACGACGCATCGACCGGGATATGATGGAGGCGGCAGCGGTATTCTCGGCGTGGGAAGGAGTGCCAGAGGACGGTGCCCGGAGCGCAAAGAGAATAGATGAGATTCTACGGGATATAGCGGACGTAGCAATGCCTAGGAAGGGACTCACTAAACGTCCATCGGTGTACTGGTGGAACGAGGAAATAGAGGAGCTCCGATGGGCTTGCAATAAATGGAGAAGGAGACTAACGCGAATGAGAGGGAGAAGACGCGCCTGTCCAGAAAACGTTAGGACGCTATGGGACGGATTGAAAGAGGCCAGGCGAGAGCTCAGGAGGGCCATAAGTAAATCTAAGGCCAAAATGTGGAAAGAGCTAGTGAATGACTTAGAGAGGGACCCATGGGGATTGCCCTATAAAGTGGTCACCAAGAAACTGTCTACCGGCGGTGCCTCTATCGTGGAGACTTTATCACCGGACGTCGCGGAAGGGATAATATCGGTGCTGTTCCCAAAAGGAATTACATCCCAAAACAACGGGACGACGATGGAATGGCAGGAAGAACTCGCGGTGACGCATGAGGAGGTGCTGGAAGCCTGTGCGGGTGTTAAAATCGGCAAGGCTCCAGGACCGGATGGCATACCCGGAGGTGTCATAAAAGAAACTATAGGACAGCTCATCCCTCTTTGGGTAAAGTGCTTCACGGAGTGCCTCAAAGAGGGATACTTCCCCCGGCAGTGGAAGGTCGCGAGACTGGTGCTTCTGAAAAAACGGGGTAAACCGGACCTCGCTCCGTCCTCATACAGGCCGATCTGTTTACTGAGTGAGGCGGGGAAGATGCTTGAACGCATCATCGTGAATAGGTTAAGCGCATTTCTGGAACGGAATGAAGGCATAGCCGGGAGCCAGTTCGGTTTCAGAAAGTACCGCTCCACAATAGATGCAGTGTGGAGACTGCGAGAAAGCGTGATGAGGGCCTGCGAGACGGTGGGGTGGTGATGGTGGTGTCGCTAGATATAGCGAACGCCTTCAACATCCTGCCGTGGCCGATCATAAGGGAGGCGCTTAGGGAGAAGGAGGTGCCGGAACACCTTAGGGCCATCCTCGGCGACTATTTGGCTGACAGGGATCTGTCATATATTGACAGAACGGATAGCTACAAACGTATGGCAGTTACATGCGGGGTTCCACAGGGTTCGGTCTTGGGACCAATCCTGTGGAACATAGGGTACGACGCTATCCTGAGGCTTAGGCTCCCGGTAGGATGCAGGACAATGTGTTACGCGGACGATACCCTGCTGGTCATAAGGGCGGACACATTGGAGGAAGCGAAGATCAGAGCGGAGATAGGCGCGACCTTTCTAATTCGCGAGATAGAAAGGATGGGGTTACGAGTTTCGATAACAAAGACCGAGGCGGTGGTATTCACCGGGGGTAGGATCCCGGAAAACGCGACCCTGAGGGTGAGGAGGAGGTGGTCCCGATAGGGTCCACCGTGAAATACCTGAGCTTGACCCTGGACTCGCGGTGGACCTTTCGGGACCACTTCCGAATCGTCGTGCCTAAGGCATGGAGAATGGCAATGGCGCTGGCAAGAATAACAGCCAACATTAGCGGGCCAGATGAGAAGCGTAGAAAAATGTACGCGACCGCCGCGATGGCCGTCATCATGTTCGGAGCGCCGATATGGGCGACCACCGTGGCCGGGGATCGGTGGATCTCGAGTAGGATTAGGAGACTGCAGCGGCAGCTGGCGTTAAGGACGATCAGGGGGTATAGAACCGTATCACACGACGCGGCGGCCATACTGTCGGGTATGGTTCCAGCTGACATAGAAGCGGACAGGTTGAGAAGGTCATACCTCCGGCGACGGCTGACCATCGCCGAAAACGGGGTGTTGTCCCCCCGTGAGAGGGACAACATAATCAGAGTAGAGCGACAGCGCGCGCTCTGGAGATGGCGAGAGCGACTCGTAGAGATGCCCGCGAGCGGTCCCGGAGCGCTGGTGCGCGGCGCAGTGGCGGAACACCTAGAGAGGTGGGTGGAAAGGGGGCATGGGGCCCTCACCTACCGCACCACCCAGGTCCTGACCGGACATGGAGTATTCGAGGCTTATCTGTTTAGGATAGGACGTCGGATCTCCCCAGTATGTTATTATTGCCGCGCGACAGCGGATACGGCGGTGCACACCCTGCTGTTTTGTCCGGCCTGGGCGGAACAGAGAGGGGAGATTTTAGAAGCAATAGGGGTCGATAGGACCTACGATGCGGTGGTGGGGGCGATCATGCTCCACGAAAACGTTTGGACTGTCTTCATGACCTTCTGCGAGGGGGTCATGAGGAAGAAGGAGGAGGACGAGCGTGCCCGAGAGCGGGGGGTTATCCGGGCACCCGTGGACGCGCTGGTCCTCCAAGCCGACACATCGGACAGCGAGGAATGAGGCTCGCTGGCAATGGCGCGGTGGTGCACGGGCGCACAGGGGTGGATTAGAAGCCTAAGTGGACCCCTGCACCACACAAGAATGTGTATATAACGATGTATATCGAAGATGCGTTGGACGTATGTATACTGTATATATATGTATATTGTAATGTATACAGTGTACAAAGATAGCGTGTCACGCGGCCAATAATAGTTAGGTAGATAAACCCGAATTGGTGGTAGAGGGCTTGCGGCCCTGTAGGTGGGGTGACACCTTGACGATATGCTAGGCTGCGGTTCCAGGGTGTCACCCCATAGGCCTAGGGGGGCGTACGACAGGGGGGAGTTTTTAGTCGGTAGGCGGCCGTCTCGGTGCGTCCCTGGGATACATGGTATCCCAGGGATCACGAGATGGTCGAATCCGGCACTCCCGACGGTACGGGCCGTCGGGGGTCTTCCCCTTCCCGATGGGTGTCCCGAAATGGTCCCCCTCGGGAGGGGGTATACGAAGATTTTCTCCTCCCAAGTAAAAATAAAAAAAAAACACCTGATTGGTCCCCCGTGCGTGGAGGACCTTGTCGTGGCACGGGGGCTCACCCGGGGCTCTCTATGAGAGTCCCGGGTGCCAACACTCCACAGTACGGAGTCCCTCGCTAAATAGAGGGACTCTGTACGCCAGGGTCCGGCATCCCAAGGACCCTCCATGCTCCTCAGAGCATGGAGGGTCTGGAGGAACCATCCTTAGCAGGATGGGGAATCACTACGCCGGTAGGAGAAGGTAACTCTGACTTCAAATCCCGGTGACTCGGCACCGATAGAGGGGGGTCTGCTCCCTTCCGAGAGCGGAGTGGTAGACGTCCACCACGGCCCCCGGGCCCGCGTGGGGCCCTCCCCTTCCCCCTTGGGGGATGGGGTGGTTCCCTCGCGGTACCGGGGACTGGAGTGACGACGCAGTAACATAGCTGCAGGCGGGCTCTGTCTTAGGACATCGAGCCCACGCCATCGGGGGAAGCGAATGCCTGGTGGGGTACTAACCCCATTGCACCCAGGCATTCACCACCAGGTATGCTCCAGTGGGCGATCGTTCTTCATGAACTATCGCCCATTGCACACTGGGCGGCACTGGTGGAGACGTGACCTGAGGGTCGGTCTGCGAGTAGGCGGATAGGAAACGAGGATCATCACAACTCGTAGTAGGCGAAGTGGCGGTACGGGCCTTTCTGGACACTCGTGGTGCGCTCGCGTCGGGGCGCCCGCTCGTCTTGAGAGAGACGGTGTGGGTGCGCCGGCGGGGATGCGTCGGACCCTCTCCGTCCCCCCTCGGTCGACCTACTTCCCTTGGGAAGCGGGGAACGATCCGATGGGTGCACGGATGGGTCACAGCCGGGAGTGGAGGGACAGGCTGGCGCTAAAAGAATGGAACGGTCACTCGAAAGGACGCGTTGAGGAGAGGGATGAGAGGAGTGCAATCACCTGCGGCGATCGGATACGCGCGACTCGTGTAGGCGGTGATCGAGGCACTACAGCGGCATGTGGGTTAGCGCCTTCGACGGCGTTTTGCTTTGTATTCCCTATGCTGCTGCGGAGGAGTACTCATTGTGTGGGTATCAGGAAGG